AGACAGAATAAAGAACCCCTGGATATCAATCATTTACATTTCCTCAATATTTACATTTCTAATTCTTTATTTTGTAATCCCTGAAACATTTCAACATAAGTTACACACATGACTCTTTATGAAAAGAACATTGTCTGCAGAACAGTTTAGCAGCCCAATGGGCACAAAGTGAGTGTTTTGCCTATAGTGTTTTCTGTGCTGGGGATGAAGCCCAGGTCTGTGGGCATGCAAGACCAGCAAACTGCTGCTGAGCTCCACCCAAGCTTTTGTTTGAGGCTGACATTGAGTTTGTTACCTTCCTGCTTGGGCTTCACAGAGCTGGGCTTGTAGACCTGTGTCCCTGACTAGTTAGTACTTTCCTGTTGTTGTGATAAACACCTTGGACAAAAAAAAAAATATGAGGAGCAAAATCTTTATATGGTTCACAGGGTATAGATAGTCAAAGTGGGAAGCTGTGGTGGTTTGAAGAGTAATGGCTCCCATACACTCATGTGTTTGAATGCTTGGTCAACAGGGAGTGGCATGTTAGGAGGTGTGGCCCTGTGTGAGTAGGTGTGGCCTTGTTGGAGAATGTGTGTCTCTGGAGTGAGCTTTGAAGTTTCAAAGAAGTGAGCTTTGATGTTTCAAAGGCTCAATCCAGGCCCCATTCCCTCTCTCTCTCCTTGCTTCCTGCCAGTGCAGATATAGAGCTCTCAGCTGCTTCTCCAGCTCCATGCTCCCTGCCATTCAATAATGGACTAAACCTCTGAACTGTAAACCAGCCTTCATTCAGTGTTTTGTTTTATAAGAGTTGCTGTGGTCATGGTGTCTCTTCACAGCAATAGAACACTGACTAAAGCAGAAGCCAAGACATGAACTCAGGGAACCTGCAGGCAGGAACTAAAGAGGTCATGAAGAAATTTATCTACCTGTCTGTCTTCCTTGGCTTACTCAGCCTGCTTTCTTTAATTTTCTCTTAAACATGTAAATATTTATGTATTTTATGTTGATGAGTGTTTCATCTGCATGTATGTCTGCACCCCAGAAGAGGTAATCTGATCCCATTATAGATGACTGTGAGCCATCATGTGGGTGCTGGGAATTGAACTCAAGACCTCTGTGAGAGTAGCCAGTGCTTATAACCACAGAGCCATATCTCCAGCCCCCTCAACCGCTTTCTTATAGAACCATGGACTGCCTGCCCAGAAGTGAGTAAAACAACAGTGGGTTGTAGTCTCCTGTGTCAATCAAGAAATTCCTTCAGAGACCTGCTGGAAGGCTAATCTGATGGGGACAATTCCTCATTTGTGTCTCCTTCTCAGATGACTCCAGTTGGTGTTGACAAAAAAAAAAAGAAACCAGCACACAGATATGGGATTTGTCAGTTCTCTACTTTCATCTTGGTAATGCCAGTTGCATTCCCAACTGCTCTTGGGCTTGTTTGTGCATGAGAGCCTAGTGGAGATCTTTGTAATTCCTTAATGGGATTGGCTGGAGAGATGGATCATCAGTTAAGATCATTTGCTGCTCTTCAAGAGGAACCAAGTTCAATCATCAGTTCCCACAGGTCAGCTCACCCCTGTCTGCAGATCCATTATTCTTTAGATGCCAGGCAAGGGTGGTGCACATACATAAATACATACTTACCTACATACATACACATGTAGTGTACATATATAGATACATGTCCACACTCATAATACTCTTGTAGTGAATATACATATTTACACATGTGGTGCACATGCATACATACAATGTAGTGTACACATGGACACCTTGGTGCACATACATAGTGCACATGTAGTGAACATACATCCATATACATGTGGAACACACACATACCTACTCTTGTGGTGCACATACATACATACACACGTGGTGCACACACATACTTACACATGTGGTGTACATATATACATACACCCAGGCAGAACACTAGCACTCATAAAAATAAGCCTAATTTTTTTAAATAGTGAGAATAAATTCTATTTATTTTATGAGTGAATGTTTGACTGTGTATATGTCTGTTCCTGTGATGGTCAGAAGAGGTCATGGGTTCCCATGGAACTGGTGTTATAGCCAGGGTATATTTGCTGGGAACCAAACTCAGGTCCTCTGGAAGAGCAGTGCTCTTAACTGCTGAGCTGTCTCTTCAGCTCCAAAAATAATCATTAAGGAACACTGCATCCTTTAGGTCTACACTTAAAGCCCTGTATGTGATTGTCTAGAGCTTGTTTTGAGGGCAGGTTAATGTAGCTCAGGCTGACCTGGAATTTAATATATAGCTGAGACTGGCCATGAATCTAATCTTCCTGCCTCAGTTTCCTGAGTACTGGAATTACAGGCAACCTGACTAAGCCCCAGTATTCTGTTACATTGTTCAAACATTAAACCTGACTAGAGAGATGGCTCAGCAGTGAATAGTATCTTGTTGTGGAATATTACTATAACTGTGTAAAAGTGTGTTGTTTTACTTTATGCTGCATTTTTAATTATGTAAAGATGTGTTACTTTTGTTTATGCTGCATTTGTTTAATTATGTAAAGAGGTGTTGCTATTTCACCTTGCCTGCCTAAGGCACCTGATTGTTCTTATAAAAAGCTGAACAGTCAATAGCTAGACAGGAAAAGCCAAAAAATAAATAGGATGAGGACTCTAGGCTGGGGGAGAGAAAGAAGAAGAAGAGGAGGAGGAGGAGGAGGAGGAGGAGGAGGCGGCAGAAGCATCAAGCTATACTGCCCAAAAAAAAGAAGAAGGGGAGGAGGAGGAGGAGAAGGTGAAAAGGAGAGAAAAAGAGAGGGACATTTCTGGGCCAGAAGCCAGGCATCTGCCAGCCAGCTATGAAGTGTGGGACAAACAGAAGCGAGAAAGGTAAAAACCCAGAGTCAAAGAATAGATGCAAAGGTACAGGTTAAGTTAAAAGAGCTAGCCAGAAATAAGCCTAAGATAAGACTGAGAATTCATAACTAATACAAAGCCTCTGTGTCATGATTAGGAAGCTGTCTGGTGGCCCAAGAGAAACCCTGTTACAGCACATGGTTGCTCTTCCAGAAGACCAAAATTCATTTCCCAGCACGCCCAAAGCAGCTCACAACTGTCTGTATCTTCAGTTCCAGGGGATCCACAGCATTTTTCTGGCTTCCATTGTGCATTTCACACATATCATACACACACATCCATGTAGGCAAAACACCAATACACAGAAAAATAATAAATAAAATGTTTAAATGAGATATTTAGAAGACATAAACATATCTCTATATGCTTACTTTCATTTAAGGGTTTTTTCTTTCCTTTTATCTCTTTTTTCCCTCATGTATTTACAGATGTGCCTGTTCATGTGTGTAGGGATAACGGTGAGAGGCAGGGTGGTTGTGAAGGCCAGAAAGCAATATAGTGTATAGTTGTGTGTATCCATCTTTAAAATGTTTTCAAAAGGCACATACTTTCACTGGCCCAGAACAACTCAACAAATGAGCTAAACTAGCTGGCCAGGGAGTCCCAAGGATCTGCACTGGCATCCCAGTGCTGGGATTACAAGCACTGCATCACCTCACTTTTTTAAAAAATGGTTTTTCAAGACACAGAATCTCTGTTTCTCTGTCTCTGTGTCTCTCTATAATTAGATAGAGATACATACACACATAGACACAACACACACATACACACACACATACACACACATACACATTTGAAACAGGGGTTCTCTGTGTGGTCCTGGATGTCCTGGAACTCACTGTATAAACTAGTGTGGGGTCAAACTCATAGATCTGCCTGTCCCTGCCTCCTGAGTGCTGGAATTAAAGGCCCCCCCCGTCATCCCCCAGCCACGTCTAATGTATTTAGAGTGGATTCTGGGGTTCAAACTCAACAAGGCAAGCACTTTACTGACCAGGCTATCTTCCCAAGCACCCACCCACTTTTTCTGTATTGTGTTTTGTTTTGTTGACAGAGTCTCATATATCCCAGCTGGCCTTGAACACACTATGTTGTCTGGAAGGCCCTCCAATTCCTTTTGGAAATCAGATAATAACAAACTCAAGAGACTAGTGGAAACTAAGAGGTTTTCATTATACAATTTGCAGAGAAAAGTCATAAATGGCCAAGGTGCTGATTTGGCACCAGACAGTGGTTTTTTAAAAACATATTGAGAGATATTCCTGTTCTCTCCTGTAGGCTTGTAGGACTTGCATGCCCCTTATTCCCCATATAATTTGCCTAGGACAAAATCCTCATCCAATAAATAATTTGAGACTTGAGTCCGGCCCCTTCTGATTGCCAGCTTCACCAATCTGAACCAGCTAAATTAATGAGCACAGCACTTGTAACTTTCTGAAACAAACAGGGGCTAGTGACTAGCTAGGGAAGAGGGTCTAGGAGCAGCCTGCTTGTCTGTCACTGTGATCAACTCTAGCTCACCTCATGCTGAGAATGGACTGTAACCATCTCTTTCTTAACCTCTTTTTTCTTCTCTGCTATCCCCCAAGTGCTGGGTCTACAAGTGCATACGATCACGCTGGACTAGGGAATTTTTCTTTACCATTTGACATTATAAAGTGGTTTAACATGTTCATGACACGGCCTAAAGGTTGCTGTCCAAAACTCCCAAGGTATCAAGGTGTTTTTTCACTGTTAGATGGGTCATCATTTTGTTTATGAGATTGTTGTGAACAACAGCCTTTCTCTTCCAGTGTCCTCTTCATTTTCTCCTGGGGGAGCTGCTGTGTTCTGCCAGAGATAGCTTCTGTCACCCAGAGTGCAAGGGGACCTCAAAATCTACACTGGCAAGGAAGGACTTGATCCACTGTTGTCACTGGTCGTTTCCTGTTACGCCCTGCATGGACGAAGTCAAAACCGCCTGGTGGAGAAAGCTGGTTCTGCAACAGGGTGGAAATTGAGGACACATGGTTCCAGGAAGGAGTTGAGCTTGTGGGAGTGGCTCAAGTGGAATCAGCCTGCATTGCAAAGGGGACTGGGATTTCCTGTCAGGCCATGCCTCCCTGGCTATTGGTGGTTCTCTTCACCAAGACACTGGTGGACGCTTGCCCGCCCTTCTGCTACCCAATGGCAAGGGTAGGCCCCGCCCCTTGACGGCTTAGTAGCTGTGTGCTTCGCAGAGCTCCAGGCATGGAGGAAGGCGGACTGGGATGCACTGTGTGTGTGCTGACCGGGGCCTCCCGAGGCTTTGGCCGCGCCCTTGCCCCACTGCTGGCCCGGTTGCTGTCGCCCGGTTCCGTGCTGCTTCTGAGCGCACGCAGTGACTTGGCGCTGCTGCAGCTGGAGGAGGAGCTGTGCACACAGCATCCTGGCCTGCGAGTGTTGCGGGCAGCAGCTGACCTGGGCACCGAGGCCGGAGTGCAGCAGCTGTTGTGCACTGTGCGCAAGCTCCCCAGGCCCGAGGGGCTTCAGCGACTGCTGCTCATCAACAATGCAGGTGAGACTCCCTACCAGTCCAGGGCTGAGGCCTCTCCTTTGTGGGCATTGCCTGAACTTCGGACTCCAAGCGGAAACAGGATGTCCCTACAGGGTTAGCCCAGCCTCCTTGTCTAAAGCTCCTGTGAAACTTTCTCCATTGCCTTGAGCAATGCCTCCTGGCGTGAGCGGAAGTCAAGATATCAGGTCTCTGAACAAATCCCCCTGATTTCCTAAAAAGCTCTCTGACAGATGTATTCTTAGATTGCATTAGCAGTGTCTGCAGAGCTGAGGTAAATGGGAAAAATGGATATGAGGAGAAACTGCGGAAGGCTGAGGAGAAGACAGCCCCCGCTGCTGTGTCATTTCTTCAGTTCTGTTTTTTCAGGTACTCTTGGGGATATTTCCAAAGGCTTCCTGGACGTGAGTGACCCAGCAGAGGTGAACAACTACTGGGCTCTAAACCTGACCTCCATGCTCTGCTTGACCTCCGGCACCCTGAATGCCTTTCCAGATAGCCCTGGCCTCAGCAAGACTGTGGTTAACATCTCATCTCTGTGTGCCTTGGAGCCCTTCAAGGGTTGGGGGCTGTACTGTGCTGGGAAGGCTGCCAGAGACATGTTGTACCAGGTCCTAGCTGCTGAGGAACCCAGTGTGAGGGTGCTGAGCTATGCTCCAGGTAGGTGGTTGGTACTGCCATTGCTGCCCCCAACATGGCTGGTACATTTCTGGGCATGGAAACTCATCAACATTCTCAGAAAAGAATCTAAAGAATATGTTGCACCCTGCCCCATGACTCCTCATCTTGCAAGGAAAATATAGACTCTAAGAATTTAGAGCAGTAGGGGCAGAGAGGTAGTCAGCTTAGGAGTTGCCTGACTAGCAGGTGGAACAAAACACCCATACACATAAGTGCAAATACATTACAATTAAAAAACAAAAGACCACATTGCCTTTATATGTGTGTTTTTCTTCCTCAAAGACCACATACTATTTATCCATGTATCCCCAACACCTAGCAAAGCACCATGGAAGCCAGCCACAATAAATGTTCAAAGACAAGCAGTCAGACCTTCTTGACTGATGAGCATCCCTGGCTGAGCTATGCTGGAACCCTGAACAGGGTGGGAAAGGGGTGCTAGGATGAATACCATAGGGTCCCTGTTCTCATCAAAATTACAGAG